AATGCTAGATTACCGGTAAAAGAAGTTTATCCTGTCCCTGGATACCCCATATTTAGATATTTTTCATTGTTTGGAGGGGGTCGTCGGGTTGCTGTTTCATTGATGTACGTAAATCCAATTTCTGTTTTCATTCATATTGTTATTAGCTCTGAAAAATGTTACATTTTCTCTTTTGTTTGCGTTAAAAAATAAAAACGGATTAAAAACAATGTGAACATTTCCTTTTTAGTTTGCATAGAAAAATAAAAACGGATATGAAAACATGGAGAACAATATTTTTTTTCTTAAAAAATGTAACAATACAAAATCGGCACCTGCTTCTTATAAAGTTTAGTAAATCTTAATTGGGCATTTTTAATACAATTCTAATTCTAAACGTTCATCTGACCTCTGTAAAGTAAAATCCATAACTCAAAAATGTTGTTTATTTATTAAAAAATTAAAAGTTGTAATCATATCCGGGGCTAAAATAAGTAAAGGACAGCGTATGTTTCGATGATGACCCAGATGTGATTATGGAGATATTATCATCTGTTATCGGTCATTTTATGTCATGGGATTGTCCAGCCCTGGGCACTGATGGTGTTAATAAGTACAAAAATATGTCGTTACACATTTTGATAAATATTCAAGGATGCAAAAGGGAAACTGAGTCAGAAGGAAAAAACTTTCTTTTATCCGACTTTATACAAATTTCAGGTGTAAAAATCCATTGTAAGTTTTTTTTAGGAAGCAAATGTAATGTGGTGTCCTGGGTCAACCTTAAAAAGTATTTATTGTCAGTGATGATAAATACATAATGTATGTATGAAGATGGAATGTGTTTTTAAACATTTAAGCAAAATTTATTTATCAAAATTCATATAAATTGCAAGCTTTTAAGCAATAGAAAAATGTAATTTATTTTAATGGAACAAACTGTAATAGCGTTTTTAACCGATTATGAATCAGATAGAGATTGAGTGGAATTGTTTGCCAAAGGGAATTTTTTGCTGTTAGTAATTTGAATCCAAAATCTTTAAAAAGAGAGTACCGGAGCGACCCATCACACATATTTTGCCAAGGAAGGGGAGTTAAAAGAAAAAATGTAATAAATAAGACAATTTTCGGCCATCAGGATGGCAGAAGATTAGACGTGGGTTCACATCACTCTTAGAGAAACTGATGAGAGTTTTAGAATAAGATAAGAGGTATCAGCACGGTCCTTACTTGTGATGCAGTTAAACTCATATAAAATAATTTTTTTTCCATTTTTCACAACTTTGGCAAACCATATATAACATGGGTTGTTCAAGCAAATCGCCTTTTATCCACAGTTTGCATTCTTAAAACTTTAAAAATGAATCACGCCGGAAAATGGGCTTATTTTGATTATTTTCACCACTGGATTTTACTGCTTACAGAATAATATTGCAAGCTATTGTGTAATTTGTGAATGAAAATTTATAGCAAACCTTTAGAAATGTTCTCGTCATTGGATTTTATAAATTCTTCCCAATAGTATTTTAAGCTTTTATGTACTGTTGATAACAATGTATAACAAAACCTAACAAATGTTCTCGCCATTGAATTTTAAAAACGTTCAAAATATGATAAAACATATATCAACTGGTATTTTTTTGTATAATTCATTATCCAATTTTGTATTCAATTACATTGTAAGTGTCGTATCTACAAGATCTATGTTTGTATACTATTATATTGATACCTTTTTATGTTGATAATTGATTTACAAGACACACTGAAATGTTTGTTACTCAATTTTATAACATGTTCTGTAATAGTCTCGTATCGTATCGCATTTGAAGTAAAAAGTCACGCGAGATTGGAAAGTTATTTTGATGATTAACTGTTAGGCATTATTATGGTCTAAGGGTGTTAGGGAGAAAAGATAATATATACTAAATAATTGTAACGATACACATCATAAAATAAAACAAATAAGGGAACAAATGTTAAATTATCCAATGAGAAACATGCAGTTGCGGAGGCAAAGGAAATGCATATGTTTTAGAAGTAATCTTGACAAGTTAGAAAGGGGGAAAACATACCATGTTATTGAACACAGGGGTCGAATATATTTTGCAGGAACTGATGACAAAAGGAGGCATCCAATTACTAAAATGGAAATTTAGATTCAAATATCTGAGAAGGCAATCAAAATTTAATCCGACTAAGTTTTAGTATGAAGTTTTATGTTAAAAAATCGGTTTTGAAATTTTGGGTGAAAAAACTGAAATAAAACAAATTGCGAATGTTTGTTTAGCTTGGTATCCGTGCCATGTATACAATTTCTTCATCAATGAAAACTTTTTTGTTTACTAGTATACAACCGTACTTCACAATTCAAATGCAGGTACATTTGTGTATACCTGAAAAAATATTTACATTTTCACGCAGTTTTTTTCATTTTGAGAGCTATTGTAATCAATATAGACGCTCTATGCAAAAATATATATCAATATTTGAACAAACCGTTTATAAATAGACATTATTAGTATAAAATATATAATAGTAAATCATATGGCTCATTTAACGAACTCTATCATCTATCCAGCCCTACACAGAACGTTGACATACCTGATTATGAACAGTTTCGACAATTATTTCTCTTCAATTTAATTTATTCATTGAACCTCTATGTATTTGTACAAGTAATTATTATTGTTATGATTTTTTACCATACCTTTATCAAACCAAAGTGGTTTTCTTTGATAATCTAGAAAATCAACAAAGACTTAAAGTCACTAGTTAGTTCATCTGGATTCATTGTCAGTGTGAAATTAAAACCACAGTTTTGACACACGCAGAGCTAATTCTTCAAGATTTAAGTTAATAAGGTATTATTGAGTTTTTTTGTTGTATTTCTGAACATAGATATCGAATAAATCATAAATCGAACCAAATTAGCACGGTCAGTAGTCGTTATAATTGGAGCATTTCTAAATAGGTGTATAGAGCTTTTAAAAAGAGAACATATAATTATTTTGGTCTTTAAATTTGTTTAAAATTTTAAAAGATGTAAATTCTGTAAGAATTGTGAAGAATTTCAATTGTAAATGTTAAAGATCAGTAGTACTAGCTATACGTCTTTTTTCTTATCACATTAATTGAAAAAAGCTATTTAGTATCAATACACTTCCACTTCCTAATCTGCTCCTAGATCCTACCCCTACACGTATATCAATATAAAAATAAGAAGATGTGGTATGATTGCCAACGAGACAACTCCCCACAAGAGACCAAATAACACAGAAATTAACAACTATAGGTCACCATACGGCCTTCAACAATGAGCAAAGCCCATACCGCATAGTCAGCTATAAAAGGCCCCGAAATGACAAATGTAAAACAATTCAAACGAGAAAACTAACGGCCTAATTTATGCACAAAATAATGAACGTAAAACAAATATGTTACACAGCAACAAATGACAACCACTGGGACAGGCACATACAGAATGTGGCGGGATTAAACTAGTTTGAAGGCGCCAACCCTCCCCTAACCTGGGACAGTGGTGTAACAGTACAACATAAGAACAAACTATAAAAATCAGTTGAAAAAGGCTTAACTCATCAGAAGGATACAAATAGAAAGTTTTTTTTTTCTGGAATATTTGTTCCAAATCTTATTGAATAAAAAACATATACACAGGGGCGCGGAAAAAATCTTTTATCAACTCCCAACTGTTTTTTTTTCTCACGTTATTATTATCGGCATTTTTCAGACTCTTATTAAATAGATTTTTTAATCCACTGTTTAGACCAAAGATGAGTAAACATTTCTGACAAATATGCTTAAATATTACATTGTTATTATTGAATTGATAGATATAAGAAGATGTGGTATGAGTGCCAATGAGACAACCCTCCATCCAAGTCAAAATTTATAAAAGTAAACCATTATAGGTCAAAGTACGGTCTTCAACACGGAGCCTTGGCTCACACCAAACAGCAAGCTATAAAGGGCCCCAAAAATTACTAGTGTAAAACCATTCAAACGGGAAAACCAACGGTCTAATCTATATAAAAAACGAGAAACGAGAAACACTTATGAACCACATCAACAAACGACAACTACTGAACATCAGAGAATGAATAAGACCAGTACTGGCACTAGCTATACGTCTTTTTCATTATCACATCAATTATAAAACTATTTAGTATCAATACACTCGAGATCTCTCCTATCTAATCTGCTACTAGATCCTACCCCTATCATATATCAAGTTTTTTTGGGGGAATATATATTCTAACCTTATTGAATTAAAGAATAAACACACTAGCGGAAATAAATCTTAAATGATCTCCAAATTATTTTCCCCATGTATAAAAATCAGTTGAAAAAGTCTTAACTCATCAGATGGATACAAATAGAAATGTTTTTTTTTCTGGAATATTTGTTCCAAACCTTATTGAATAAAAAAAATTTCACACAGGCGCGGAAAAAATATTTTATCAACTCCCAACTGTTTTTTCTCATGTTATTATTGTCGGCATATTCCTAGACTCTTATTATTAAATAGATTTTTTTAATCCACTGTTTAGATCAAAGATGAGTCTAGTGATTAGATAACTAAGTCTATTATCAAAATCAATAAAGAGTAAACATTTCTGACAAATATGCTTAAATATTACATCTTTATATACGTTATTTATTTCAAACATTTACGTGTGAAATCGGATTAAGGAATTAATTTAGGATGCCATAAGTTTTCGTAATTAAACTCAGATCTCGTTGTGAGTAATCAAGTTCAAACACGTGCCGTGTTCTTTTATTGTTTTAGATTTTAACAGCTCTACTGAATTAAGTCCTCCTTTCAAAATAAGCGTTAAACCGAAAAGTTTTGTTATTCCCCGTAGGTGGCCTCAAAGTAATTTACTTTTTATGAATATGAGGTTCATTACATCCATTTATGTGGGTCATGCTTGAGTGACATTTTTATGAAGCCTCGTTTCGCAGTTTGATTTCGAAGCTCCGCCTCTTAAAAATATAGTATTCCTCTATCCATATAGTTTATTCTACTAATTTAGAGCTGACATATCGTATACTAATTCAAAAATCGATGGAAGGATATTTTTGAAAACAAATACATAATAATTATCATTATGGGGAATATTCCGATAAAATAATGTGTGCATAAATAGTGTTACAACAGGAACATATAAATATAAATATTGACACATTGGAGTGGAACAGCGTTTTGTTTACCTACAATTCAATAAGGCGTGAAATATACACCCATCTTCTGTGTGAAATTTTAAATAATATAGGATTTATAATATGTGTACATCAAATTTTAATAGGCAACTGTGAAGTGTGTATCATAAATGTTGAAGAACGAATTTTATTTCCGTATTTAAATATCTGTTTGATAATGACCGTTCACGGACATCAAGAAAAGCCCAATACACATCAAAATGGATTTGTTAGTAAAATGGTTTACCCTGATAGTGAAACAATGATGAACCGATCTTGGAATGGATACATGTTTCATGTTTCTCCTCTTAGTTTGCCCAACGGGAATATTGCAACTCCCCAGAAAGCACATGGACCACCAAAATTTAGTAATGAAATGCGAGCCAACTTTTCATTGAGTTACGATGGGGATGAATCTTCGCAATTTGACAGTTTGGATTCAGAAACTGAATACGTCACTTTAGACAATAATTATTTCTTGAGAACTTTTTCTCCTCCTTCTAGACATTTATCTATTTTGGATTTTAAACGAAATGAATTGAACAATACTAAAACAAATAGTCTGACAAGACAATCACATACACAATCATTGATTAGTGTTAAATCGCCATTAAAAGATAGGAAATGGCAGAAAAAAAGTTTGCGAAAACTTGCAACAAACATTGGTGCTGTTTTAAGTTTGAGTCCTAGAGGAGAGAGTCTCAAACGATTCCCAGAAGAATATGTGCCGGCGAAGAGAGAGCGAAGCAAGTCAGTTGGGGATATAGTTGAGGATGCAAAATATAAAAGAGAGGATAGCATTGAACTTTGTTTAAGTGATGATGATGACAATGATGATTTCGGATTTATAAATTATCCAAAATGTTCTTCTTCTCTTTCTTTAGCGATGAACAAGACCAAGTCACCATCTTCCACGCACAAAATTCTTCCAAAAAGATTTCGCAGCAAAACACGGCCAGTCCCTGTTGTTAATACCACGTTATGGAGCCCCGAGGTAAGTAGTTATATTTATCTAAGTTTGTGTATCAAATGTATGTGTCCTCATATTAGTATATTTTGGTGAAATGGAGATTAAATCTACATAAAACATCCCCAAGCGAAATAGTTTCCCGCCACATTTTTGATGACCGAATAAATATTGCTGTATAGAAAGTAAAATGTCCTGGTTTGGTTCAGTTGTGTCAATAAACCTATTATATCATCAATCAGGATAGACAAAAATCGATGGACAATTAATAGGAAGAGTTTCCTTATGTCAGGATTATAAACAAAAATATATTGATATGGAAAAAAGGATAATTTAGATGTCTACGGACAAGAGGTCGTTCAACTTTATCAAATAGTACTTTCATTATCATACTATTATAGATTCTCAGCAGAAAATTCGTATAAAAATTTACCATACTGGATGGTACTTGGCTTTTTCTTATAGGACCAATTTGATTATACAGCCCTTCATATATATATATTCATATTTGGCTGTCCTACCCTTTTGCTCTGAGTGCGTGGTGAAGGTTAAATCAGAACGTGTACCAAATGCAGCGGCGGAAACAGTACATTATGCTACTGCATATGCGTATATACCAAATAACTTGTACAACGTTCTAACTGCAATTGACTTAATATGCCAGTACTATACATGTTGTCTCATTTGTAATCAGTTTTTTTTGCAAACAGAATCAAGATCATTCCTTGGCACAAAGAAACACAAGAAAGTCATACTTGTATAATTTTATGTTATATGTAAATGTATATTCCAAACAAGTCAATTAGACAGTAATTATAATTAGCTAAAACAATTGTCGTGTGTATATAACATGACGGACAGGTTTCATTTGACATCAGGTGTTAGAACATGGGTTTTACATTAACCATTGTATACAAAGAGTCACGTCTATACACCCATAATAGGATAATAGAGAAATTTATTCCATAGATGTAGCTATTTATTATGACAATTTTTAAATACCCTGTATGACAAAATATGAAGAATGCATTGTATTCGATTTAGAAGACTAAAATATATCCAAACAACAGCTGACGCCGCTAAAGAAAGATGGTATACTTCAAATGATGCTCAAACAATTGTAACTTTTAAAACTGATATAATCAACAATTATCATATTTTGAAATTATAGGCGCTATACTTTATTTATTCGTGACAAATTCAGTAAATCTTTTTAAACAGTACGTTAATCTGTCAGATCTTTAAACTATGAAATAAACACCTTTATTAATTACACCATTCATAGTATGAAATGTGTGGAAAGAATACTGTCTTCAAATTGAATATTATAATTTCATCTGTCATGCTTTTGTCTGGAAGGCTTTCGTATGCATTTATTTACTGTCACCAGTTTTATCAACCTGTTCAAATACAGGCTTATCATAAGTGGTGACCTTATCACAACCCAATGTTTATATACTTATCAATATCTATTGAATCTGATAACCACCAAAGGAACATCTTTTAAATCGCATTTCAATATTTTTACATGCAAACGACATGCTTAGGAATGTCTCAACCATGACTCAGAATGGTCAACGACATGAGATATCACCTGGACAACTTCAAAAGTGACATGTTGTCATCTCAAGTAGATTTTTATAGTGCATTTATATGCTGTGATAAAGATTTATACAGAAAGCTTTCAGAAAATGACCATTGATAGTGGTAAGGTTGATGTGGGGGTTCCCCGCATTGACCACACTTTTTCTGGCATATGGAGTTGTAATTATTGTTTAAATTTAAATTATTATAATTATGAAGTTTTTGATGAAACTACACTTGTGATAATTCATTTAAAACACCCGTTTATTGACGCGCCATTTTCACTAGTCTTCTTAAATGAAGTGTTTGTTCATTATTGAAATATAGTCCTGAATATGCATGAAATATTTGTCACTGCACTGTAAGTAAACATCAATCAATCAATCAATTAATCATTATTGAAATTGAACACAGTATCTCGTACAGATAAATATAACCTGCAACTTAATCATGCTTATAGCTGTTGCATTATATTGTAACCAAACCTGCATCAATTCCAATTTATTCGATCAAATAATGTCGATCTGATGGAGTAGATGACCTTCTTTTTCTAATCATTAGTAATATAAATAATTAATAAACTGGAATCTCGCGGTGATATGAATATGTACAATAAAATTACAATAAAATTACAATAATAATTATCTTTTTCAAAACAAAAATTTGATTAATATTCGCAAGGGCAAATAAAAAATTCTGCATTAAAAAAGAAAGACTAGAGGTATTAAGCTGCTTCGTTTTATTTGATCTCTCTTCAACATTCCTTTAGAAAATTGTCTTTTTAAAGATTTGTAAAAATATGACGATGTGTATCAAAATGATAAATGGTGTGACCCGGTCCCGTACTGTGTATTTTAATCCAGATAGAAGACGTTTGAGGTCTGTCACTTTGACAGTTATGAATTATTATATTTGATAACGAGTTGTTTCTTTTATGTATTCATATAGTAGCTCCTTTGTTTGATGGTTTAATAGAAAAGACGTATCTAAAATAAAAAAAAAAATAAAAAAGTGAAACACAGCACATTAAGTTTTGAGAAAGAAGTTATACTGCTTAAAACTCATCAGAGATACCAGGCATATAATTTAGTATACGCTATGTAAAATAGACAATCAATTTTTCAAAGAAATCCCTTTCATGCTTTCATTTTACACATAACAACTGAATAAATTTTACCTTAAAAGTTCATGAAAAATCATAGACAGGAATAAGTACGCACAGATCACATACACAATGTGTTAATGCAAAGGTCAAATAAAGAGATATGCGACATATTTCACCATCCATTTGCCTCATTCAGGTCTAAAAATTATAATATACGCGTACCTAGTATTAACCAAAAACTGTTTTTGCAATTTTAGGGTTATTGTAGACTGAAATAAGTGGTCACTTTTGGACTAGATTATCTGGATGAATTGTAAATTCTGTTCGTGGATACAAATTGTACTGAGTAGCCAACTGGATCCAATCTACCATAACCGATGGCATCATAATTATATTTAAATATTTTCCGAATATATCAATTTTATGCTACCATCATAAGTTTACACAGCTTTTTCGTAATATTGGCACATTAGTTCAAGATTAAATCGTTCATCGATCAAATTATAAATTTACACCGGAAATATATGTCAGATAATGCTAGATACCCGTTGTTTATTTAACGGGTACTCTAAAAATCAATGCAAACATTGAAAGTAATTTTTGGAATTAAGTTATGAACCATTTTCCATCTACAGTTGTGGTTAACCGTACGCGTAATCTAAAAACTTTACAGAAACCGCATTTACACTATAAATCTTGTTTTTCTTTATTTTTTGTTTACATAAATTTACTGTACATCTTTCATCACATTTCATTCAAATTTAAATGTCTAAATTTGAAAACAACGAGGAGCTTAACAAAATGCAGTTGAATTATCAGATAGGCTGATTAAACAATGGCATAATTTTCTCAATCCCTGTACTATTTAAAATATCGTACTTTGGTCAAATTTTAAAGATTTCTGGACCCATGCCGAGATTGAAACAATGATTGTAATTTTTCTTAATCTTTACTCAAATTATCAGAAATAATGACCCAATTTTTTTTACATCAGGTAAAATTTATTTCACGGTTATATGAGTAACAATCGAAGATGGCTAAGAATCAATGCCATCAAACATATAGAGATGTATCTTATTGTCACATTGATTGAGTTGAAACTTTTTAATTAATCGAGGCGCCAAGTGAGAGGACTTTCTTTAATTTTTGAATGTAAAGAAATGGGGTTGATGTTTTAAGTCAACCCGACACAGTAACACAACTACCTCCCAACCACAAAAAAATCAAAATACCAAAAAACAGCAAACAATCTTGAGATTATCAAGCAATCTTCTACAAGAACAAAATAATAATGATAAAAACAAAAGTTTTAAATAATGATTGTAAAAAGAGAGACAACACCGATGTTTTGCTCTTTTTCATCAAGGATTTGTGTCTCAATATACGAATCTTTGTTTTCATATATGCCCATTAAGGACAGCTTTGCACTAAATATTATAAAGCGTGAAAATATTCTCGAATTTGACCACCAGGGATTATACAACAGGTCGAGTTCATGCATTCCAAATTGAAAATTGACATGTATATTATCAATTTTTACATGAAAAAACCTAGTCAGCTGTCATGTTTTACATGTTGTCAACCACTATGTTTGCACCATAGGTCTTTGGTCTGCACTAGAAAAACCAAATCAAAATGTCAAAATACCTATGATACTTGTCACACAAAATCCATTTAAAAAAGTAAATATGTCATTCTGTAGCTATCGGCTGTTTTCGATAATAAACAATCCTAGTCAATCACTGGATAGAGTGATGTGTAATGAGGAGACAGTCATTAAGTTACCAGTATTCCTGTTATGTCACGTGGAGACGTTCTCTTGATTCCAAATGTCAATGACTGCCTTTTTCGTGACAAAATGTTACGCTGCAACCTATGTAGCAAATTAGAAACAAATCACAGAAAAGCTCACTTTCAAAATATATTATCAAATGTATCGAGTTAAAAAAAATCATGTAATACTGTTGTCTTTATCGCATATCATATAGCAATCAACCATGCTTGCTTATTTTAGTAATAAGGTTTATAAGTGTGCCAAACTTTTTTTAAACAATATACGGCAGTTCAATGTTTTTCACGTTTTTGAGTTCATTTCAAGTTAAAACAATCAGATATTTATTTGTTTCAAACTTGTCTATAAGATTAAGCACTGTTTAGAATGAGGTCAAAATATTTTTGGAAATGTCAATAACGACTGAATGTTGTACAGAAAAGATTAACAGTTTTATCGTGCACGTTTAATTTTTGTCTTCATGATTAGATAATGATGTACTTCAGATGGGGATAATCTTCTGTAATCCAGACTGAGCAACCCAAATGTTCGAAGTTCAAAATTACA